CGTCATGCCAGGCGATTCCCCTCCCCCTCCCCCCACCCCCCCCCAGCTGGCAGCTCCCACCTTACATGTGTAGCATTAGTCTGGGACTAGCGAAGCTGAAATTGGATAAGCTTATCTTTATCTAGCCATACTGAACCTGGAACAAGAACTCCAAGACTTCAGTCTGAGATTCACAGGTCCGCCATGTTGACGACGTTAGCTTCCATTCTGTTGTTATCGGCGCTGTCATATTTTGGTAATAATTTCAACAATAACTTGATCAAGTCAGCTAATTGAACAACTATTTAAACAATAACCTGATAAAGTCATCTAATTGAACAATAACCTGATAAAGTCATCAATTTAAATAATAGCTTGATAAAGTATTCTATTTAACAATAATCTGATAAATTAATCTATTTAAAAAAATAACTTGATAAAGTATGCTATTTAACAATAATCTGATAAATTAATCTATTTGAACTATAACCTGATAACATTTCATTGTTTATAGTTGCAAGTACCATCTAATAAAATTTGGTAACGCTAATCTGCTGTTATTAAAGGTTAAAAAAAAATATTTCAAATTTGTGCATCAAGTGAAATTATTTTTCAATGATTTGCTCCATGTGTGCAATAATAATTACTAATATTAATATCATATTAAATGCACCATCGTCCATTCAAGCATATCGTTTGTTTGATGTAAACATATTTTCAGAGATATTTCGATTATAAACTCCATATTCTAGGCACAATTAAAGAATGTTCTTAAATTATCAAAGTTTAAAAAAAACTTGATGATCTCTACTTTTAAGCAGTCTGTAAAACCATCGAGCAGTTGAGTTGTTAATATCATTAATATAATAATATAAAGATATATAATTCTATTGTAGATTTAAAAAAAACTGTTGCTAATTAAAATTGACATCTTTCCTCTGTATTATACATCAAGAGATCAGGTATACACTCATGTCTGGAATTGATCGGTTCAGACAGCTGATGGATACAAGATTTAGTTGTGAAGATGACCAATTCTCTGCGAAGTAGTCGTCTCAATCACCTAAGACTTGTTGATTCTTTGAAAGACTTTGTCATTAATCTCAATGAAAAGATCGTCGTTACTTTGTGAGATATTGGAGGGACGGGAAAGTGTTCAAAAGATTGATCCCAACGCTTCCATAAATTCAGAAATTTCTTGTTGAAACAATCAGATGTGCACTTGTTGTGTGATGTCATAGCTCATTTGGATGTGGTGAGCATGAAGCTCCAGGACAAGGAAACAAAATAATCTGCAATTAGGTTGAACATGTTGAACATGTTGAAAATGTTGAAAATGTTGAAAATGTTGAAAATGTTGAAAATGTTGTAAAATTCAATGGGAAATTCAGGCTCCAATTATGAAGGCTGATTTGACACATTTTCGAAATTCTAACCGTTTGAAAAATAAATTGAAATCGGATCTTTGTGACATGGAGGCAGTGCTTTATAGCACTGGTTGAAAAATTATATCTTATCTGTCTGTTTGATCTGTATGTCTGATCGGTTTGTCTAATATATCTGTCTGATATGTTTTTCTGATCTCTTTGTCTCATCTGTATGTCTGTTCTGTCTGTCTGATCTGTTTGTCTGATATGTTTGTCTGATATGTCTTTCTGTCTGAAATGTCTGGCTGTCAGATATGTCTGTATGTCTGATCTGTTTATATGATTTATCTGTCTCCCTAATCTGTCTGTCTGATATGTACGTCTTATCTGTCAGTCTGATCTCTCCGTCTAATCTATCTGTCTGATAATTCTGTCATACTGATCAGTCGAAAAAAAAATGTTATAACGTTTCCTTGATTTCAAAAACTTCAAATTGACTTCTTGCATGATCCATTTTTAAAAATATAAATATAATACTCATCTTTTATTTTTTGTAGCCAGTGCTGATATCTACGACCAATGCCCATCAGTACTACCGAGGGACCAATATCTTCAAGTGCGTGGTGATTTCTGCTATCAGTTTGTCGTGTTTCGTAAGAAGACCCACTCGGAAGCCAAATCGGACTGCGAGTCCCGTGGCGGCACGTTAGCGTTGGTCAAGAGTCCGGACATCCAAAATTACCTCCG